GCATATTTGACGTAATGTTAGCCGGTACCAAGGTCCGCGCGATCCAAGTACTCCATCAGGTCATCCTCCCCCACGAAGTAATCACGCCCACGCACCCCTCCCCGCTTCTTCTTTCCCGGCATTATGTAGATGATGTCGTAGGACAGTCCAGTCGACTGCTGGGATTTCCAGCCCACTCGTGCAAGCTCGCGCCATCGCGCTTGAAAGGCCATTCGCTGCCAAGCCGGCAATTCTGAAAGTGAGAGGGAGAAATGAGTGGCGGCTGGATTCACGCCCATCAAATATCATATGCGATATGTTGGCACTCTCTTTCTGAATGTTGGCATGCTTATGTCCTCATGATCTGTCCTTGTTCACAATGAGGATTCACTCGGGAGGGAAAGGGTATGGCACCTAACCCTGGTTGACTTCAACTTTGTATAGTCCCATACAAACTTTGAGTCAAAAATCCTTAACGTGGACCGTACACGTTAAGAAAATCGTGATAACATGTACGGTCCACGCTCTCGCGTTCAAGGGGTTAACTCTATGCCTAAGGTAGTGTTGCTTCGATAAATAATAAACCACTCACGATAATGTGAAACTACCGTAGTATTTTTTTTACAAGGTGTGTTTCAGCTTTTATGGCATCACTGTGCCGGCACAGTTTTTAACTTGATTAAAGTATTGGCAATATGACTGACGCGACGGTTTTTGACCAATGAAATCAGCATTTAACATATATCAACCAATAAGACCCACGGGGGATAGGGTAAATTGATACCGACGCCATGCCGACGTATTATGTAGGCAGGGGGGGGATTATGTTGAGAGTCAATACAGGCCACAAGTTGAGCGCATATCATTCGTGTATTTGCTTTTTCGCCGACAAAACACTCCAATTCATTATGAGTTCGGAAGACCTCGCTCCCTTAAACTCTCAGCGCGCTCGCCAAACGGCAATCAACACCTTCGGTCGCTTCATTGCGGCCGAAGGTATCTCCATGGACTTCGTTGTGGCATCTCTGGTCGCGGATGCAAGGGGTGCCGTCTTCCTAAAGCTGCTAGACCGTTTCGGCGTCCACCTAGCATTTTTGGAGGACTGGGGAAGCAAACCGCTTGCAAGGAACTCAGTCGTGAGCTACTACCGCCATGTAAAGAACTGGCTTCTTGACACGTACCCGAAGCACAGAGCTACAATCGAGAAGAAGCTACTCAAGATGGGTCAAACCCTTGAACGGCACTGCCTCAAGCGTGTTGATGGGGTGGGGGTCAATAAAGCACCGGCTTGCACGAAGGAGGACCTACGAATTCTCATGGATGGGTTTTACTATGATGCGACAAGTTCTAAAGACTACCAAGACGCAGCGCTAATGTGGTATGCGTTTGGCGTGCGTCGGATCTAGGCTTCGTGTTCAAGAAAAATCTGTCTGTTAGTGCTGATGGAGTGGTGTTTGTGAGATTAAATCGTGTGAAGACAGCAGAAGAATAGGGGATTTCACTCTTTCCAGACAGAGAAAGCTTCATTACGTGTCCACCGCATGCTATTGCTATGGCGTTGGTAATGCAAGACGCCCCTTGTGCGCAGTTGCTTGAGCACCCTCATATCGCAGCTACCTACGACGAAAACTTGAACCCGCCTACCGACATTCCGCTGGCTGAAGCTCTGGATGTAGGTGGTGAACTCGACAGCTCAATCGATCCCCCTCAAAAGCAGCGCAAGTTACCTGACGAAAATATGAAGACACATGCGTACGTGAACCACGTGTCAAGTCTGCTTCCGCTGCTCAGGCTAAAGCAAAGCCTACGGCAAATTTGACTTCTCATTCGCACCGATGCGGCGGAGCGCAGCATGCAAACAGCGACCCACTTCTTAGTGCTCAGTGGATTTTTGATCGGGGCTCATGGAATATGACAGCAACGAATAATGCGTTTGCGTACGTGCTCAACACGACAAGCGCAAGATCAAAAGGTAGCTCGCGTTCTCAGCGGTTGGGATTCAAGCAAAAAAAGCTTCCAGTTCCGACGTTTTATTGGTTTGATTCCGCTTGCAGACAAAAAGCGCTGGAGCTAAGCCACCTGCTATTTCAGTCCAGGATACACACTTAAGACCCCGACACAAAACGCAACGGCCGCGTCGCTGAAGTCCTTACGGCTTCATTGATCCTGTACTTTCCAGAGGTCTTGAAGCGTTATCCTATGTGCATGTACGCAGCTAGGATGCGGCAATATTTGATGACACTTGGATTGACCAAAACGCAAGTAATGGCTTGGAGCTTCGAACTTCAAAGCAAGGTGTCGCAAAAAGAGCTTGAGGAATCCGGTGGAGATGGCGAGAAATTGACAAGCGAGAACAAACTCATAAACTACCAAAACCGCATAATTGGAGAGTTGGTGGCGATGAATCGAGCTCTATCCGAAAGGGTCACAGTGCTTAATGGCGCAAGCGGGTCACGCTCAGCTGGATCGTGAACCCACAACAGGTCAGTCGTCACCAGAAGTCGAGCTCACCAATCCAAAAGGGTGTAGAACCAAGGCGTTACCAAAGAACCCTTCTGCTATTTGGTTTGAGTGGTATGCGAAGACCCCGCGCCTGTGGAATGTATGCTCCGACCGTCAAAAGAAGTCGGTCGACAAGCACACCGTAAACTACATGAAGCTATTCCTGCCTAACGGCTTTGCGCTCGATGATTCCTCTCTGGATTACTGCGACCAAGTTCAACGTGTTGGCTTGGAGGCCGAAGAAGGACTGTACAAGTTTTTCGAAGAATGCGGGACAAAGCGATAAAATGGCTCGAGCGTACTGAAGCAACTGCGCAAATTTACCGTGAAGGTAAGCTTGATGCACATCTTAATGCTTTCCGTGCTCGTATTGTGATCGGTGATATAATTGATCCCACCCCAGTTGAAACGCATGAGCTGTTTAGCCGCAGATAGAATTGAGATTTTGAAAATGATTTTTGTGATTGAGATGTGTGAAAACGTTTGACTTCATTCTTATTTTATTTTAAAAGTGACCGAGCTAAAAATGGGCACTCAGTTACTGGATCGTTGTTTTTAAAGCTTCTTCACTGTCAAATTTGCAGCTACAAGATGCGATGACTTAGTCGTAGACTTTTTACGAAGCAGTTAGAGCTTTTATTACGCAACATTACCCTCGTGTAAATTCTCCGACGAAATCGTTCGTCTCCTAAGACTCAAGCTTCCCCAAGCTCAATTAAAACTCGGCGAACTCACGAGTCTACTGTTCGAAGCACTCACCGCCCTTCTCCAAGGTGGAAGGCGCCGCATCAAAGGCAGCCACGTCTGAGCATGACCAGGCCTACTGCGCGAGTCGAGTGACGCCGCTGAGGGAAAAGCAGCGCCGATGGGAGCAGAAAATGCCGCTACGACCGACTCGCTAGAAGACGGCGCATCCAATCTGGCCGCAGACGAGAAGCAGTGACCACCTTCCGATGCATGCAAGTAAAAGCACTTAGACGCAGGCTCATCACGCGCCGAATAAAAAGAGCCGGCACCCTCGAAAAATGGCACCGCCGACAGCGACCACAGCGACAGCGACGTTTTCTGGATCCCACCGCCGCGCCTAGCCGAGGCGAAGTTGACGCTGCGTGAAGGTCTTGGGGGCGGAGATAGCAGCAGTAGCGACAAAGAGACGGAGCCGACTGAGACCTTGGCAGCTAGGAACTACTATGTTCGCAGCATCACCGACTCCTACATCAGGGATGGGCGGCGCGTGTATGTTACTGACTGGAAAGCAACCGAAGAGCCTGCGGCCAACCTTCCTCCTACAATGGTCACGGCCTTCAACCGCCGTCGCAGAGCTCAGGTTTGTCGATCCTTCATAGAAGACGAAGCTGGTCACACCTGCGAGCGCCGTCGCCCTTCCGCCGAAGCTCCAAGCTCACGTCGTCGGCCGCTTCGCCGTCTCCGCAGGTATGCAGATGCTTAACACAGACAAGAAGAGCTGATAAACACAACATCAATTGCATATATTACCATGCCACCAAGCCTTCGTAACACCTTACTACCCACGACATCACACAGCAAGAATCACGCTGTATAACAGCACACCAAGATTACATGGTCCAGCAGCAAGGTGTCGAGGGGTAAAGCAGCAAAGTTCCACTGGAAACAGCACACAAAGCCTCCTTTGCCCCTCATCTGCTGCTTGTTCATCCCTTCAGCCTTACAAACACGCTGACAGAATCCACATTTCCTTAGTCTACACCACAGCCCAAAACGTACGGCGCCATCCTACCCCTTATCCGCTTCTTCAGTGCTGTCGTACTTTGCAGAAGGTCCTCGGTGGGTCGCTGCTGCTATCGGACAGCTGCTCGTGGCGAGCCCCCCCCCCCGCCTGCGGACGCCCCAGACACGCGCGCGCCGCTCCTGCGCTCTCTTTTTAATTATTCTGTTGTGTGGACCTCCGTTCTGAAGACTGGCGCTCTAAAGACTTCTCTGCCTTTTTCTCCAATTGAATTTGAGTTGGAGTTGAATTGGTAATTGGCTGAAACTCTACATGTTTCACCAATCACGACCGTGTCGGGGCTGCTGTCGGCCAGTGTCAGCATCGTTTTTGTATGGATGAGTATCGTCAAATCTTCGACTACATTTGTTTTACTATTGCTATTATTGACCAAATACTTCGAAGTAGAATGAAAGATAATAAAAGGTTTGCATTGTTAGCGAATCTTGCGTCTTTTTTAGCCAATAAGGGAGAACATAGTTTCATGATGGCTTTAGAACCACAGCTCCGACATTTCAAGTGTAAGGGACCAGCCCAGTTATTGATATTTCTCTAGAGATTGCAAGTCATTCGCATATATCATGAAGCTCCGACACCTCCGACTCAAAATGAATATGAAATAATTAGCACCAAGCAAGCTCACGAGTCTGCCCAGCGGTCGTTTTTAAAGTGTTTGTCGAGTACGAACGTATTAAGTGGGAGTACCTGGATTCGTGCACGCAGAGTGAGAATGCTGCGCTGGTACTAGCATCTGTGGTCGACAGGTTTGGCATGCACCTCGCTTTCTAGGAAGGACGCTACGGCCAGCGCTTGGCTCGACACTCGGTGATGCAGTACTACCGGCAGGCCAAAGATTGGATGCTGAAAAATGTCCCTCAAAACCAAGCAACTTTGGAGAAGACCCTTCTCGCGAAAGGACATGTTTTGGAGCGCTACTGCATGAAGAAAGAGTCTACAGCGTTTGTTAACAAGACCCCGCATGCCCGGAGAAGGTGCTGAAGCAAATGATTGTATACATGTATTCGAATGCTGTTACCTTCACGGATTATCAAGACACGGCTGTGCTCTGCTTACTCTGGCACCTAATTGGCCGAGCGTCTGATATCACACTCCTTCGCAAGGCAAACCTCTCCATTGGCTCTTGTGACATTTTCTGCGGCCGTTTCATCCGCGTCAAAATGTCTGAAGAAAGAGCTATCGCTGTGCTCCGATAAGGACTTCTTCACATATCCGCTAGCTATTGCGCTAGCGCTAATTACCCAGTCGTCGCCGACCGCATCACTGTTGAATCAGCTTCCAGAGCAGCACGGACAAGCTCTCACTTCACTGACGCCGGGTATCCCGATCATCGACCTGATCGATCATCCAAAAGACGTAGTCGAATTGCACTTCACCAAAACCGCCTCCAGTGATGACAAGAACGCCGACACTGCTCCGAGAATTCACAGCTACGTGAACCATGTACTTGACAGCGTCGCGAAAAAGGCAGCTTTGGCTGAGCGCTTGACGTCCCAATTATTCAGAGGAGCTTGGAACATGACGACCCCCCCCCCTCTGACGACCACAAAGTCGCACGAGTCTTGATCAGTCGCGACCCTGACAAGCTGTTCACGCTTGGCGTCTTTGACTCGGACACGCAGATAAAGATTCGAGCGGTCGCGTCAGCACTCTTCGTCGCTTTGTCCGGCATTGAGATTCCGCAGTACAATGTGGACGATGGCATACGTGCAGAAACACTACCCTCAGCCCAAGAATCTTACAGAAGATTGTCCAGCAATCCAACGCATTGATGCTTGTGCTCGAGACAAAGGCTTTCCCCATAATAACTTACTCCTGTGAGACAAACAGAAAAATATTTATCGAGAGAGCGCGGCTTCGCAAGATACGACAACCGACTTCACCAAATCTCCCATATATCTTCACCAACCCGCCTGGATTGAGCAACTAATTCAGATCAGCCAGAAGGTCGCCATGCAATTGTCATTTTCTGTCAAGAAGACAAAGTTCTACCACAAGCAACAGAAAACAACATCTACAAGTAATGACCCGGACAGCAACGAACCACCTGCTAAGTGACGTCCTACGTCGGGGACCATTTAATGGTACACCCAAGAACCGCGTGTGTGGAGCTCTACGGACGCAACGACGAAGCACACAAGGTCCGCCTTCAAGATGGTCGTCGCATTTCTGATGCTGTTCATCCCCGAGAGCTTCGAGCTGAACGCGAAGTCTCCGAGGTAGGACGATGAATTCCTTGTCATCGGAACCAAAGCTGCAGCGAGCTGCTATCGTTTCTTCAAGACCACAAGATCACAGCCCGTAGAGTGCAGAAGTTCATGCGCAAATTCCACCAGAGCGGCAATCTCACCGAGCACGTCTGCCGCTTCCAGCAGCTGCAGGCCGCGGGCTCGGTTAAAGATCCAGCGTTGACACATATTACGAAGCTACTGTGGCTAATTTAAAAGCGTGATTACGTGTCAATTACCTGCGTGTCGTTCAGGCAGCACTTGCTTTTATCGCCTTGATCAATCCAGCTAAGTCGTTCGTTCTGCATTTCGTCATTACCCGAAATATCACAGCCCCGCAACCATGCCATCGATCAAGCCAGTAAAGATTGTCAGCAACTCCAGGAAAGGAGTACGAAACGCGTTGTGGTTTCTAAGCACCACAAGATTCGGGTTATTGAAAAACAATTCGCCACCAGCGTCTTAGCATGAATTTGACCATCGCCTCGGCAGCACTTCTCCCTCAGGCGTTTAAAACCGTGCTCACCTCACTGGATAACCAGACCAAGCCGCGAGTCTCAGTGACGTACACGTGTCTTGTCCCTCTTTGTACGAGTGACGAAGCCGATGACGAAGCGAAGTCTGATGGTGAAGCGGCCGACGGTAACCTTGAGGGAGAGACGCAGCATTACGTTTACAAGCTGCTGAACGGGAAGCGCGAGAACTGCAAAAATAACTACCTGGTGGCCTGGAAGCCGACGTGGGAGCGTCGCGAGTATCTGACCAGCACTGTCGTCACTGCATTCGAGAAGGAGCGCCGCCTACTCGTTCTCAAGGACTTCTTCGAAGACGAGGCTGTGGAGGATAACACGCTAAGCAGCATGGAAGCATAATTTGAGATCAAGCTTTGGGAGCAAATGCAGGGTGTATCATGCGCTTAATAAGCATTAGCAGGGATATATGCATTATTCACATTGAACACTAAGGTTAATTTCCAAATGGAGCAGCAAAGTTGACCTCGTTACAAACCAAACACGCATTTGAGTGCAAAGTATCTATTAAGATGTGGCTAGAATGCGACGTGATTTGCTCTGTAATGAGACAAGACGCTTCTTTTTATTACAGAGGAAATGTTTCAAACACAAAATCATACAAAAGGACAGTAAGAACCGTATTTGTTACAAAATATAACCAATCAACTACACATACAAATCGTTTAATGTTTTATTCTATCAGCTCATATATGTCAGTAAAGGTCATCGACCAGTCATAGCCCCAACACCTTCATTTTCAGGACAAAAAAAGCCTACTAAGTCGGCTTCGCGTCAATAGAAAACAACTGATATGATAGCTACGAAATAAATGGTGCGAGGACGGGTGTCAGATATAACAGCCATTTCACTGTCACTGAAGGCATCTTAGTACTCCGTACTGAAACATTTAAATTTTTAGCGTTGATCTTGTCGAGCTTCTGGCGATTGGTCCTACGTTTTCTGGTCAAGACTTTGGCTCTTTGGTTTAGGACACAGCACTACGAGCTCGTTTCTTGACGTCGCTGCAAGTGCAGCGAGCTTCACCTCTCCTTTGCGACCAATATGACACTTGATGCGCGGCGGCTCGACGCACCCAGTAAAAAACTCTGTTTTCTGATGGTGGAATCGCTCGTTTCTATTGCAAACGATTCCAGTGAAGTTCTTCTGGAATTTTGCGTGATTTCAGCATCTCTTTGTCGGTATGGAATCAGGTGAAACACGACGTCTCACCATTCCATCTTGTAGCTTACATAAGGCAACACCGCAGATGTCACACTGGTACCGAGCTTTGAACCCCTTCCGAGTGTGTTTGTTGTCCTCGATATCGGGGTACAATTGATAACACACTACACAACAATTTGCTGGGCGCCGTCATCAGGTGAGGCCTGAGATCCTTGTAGGATAGTATGATTTTTAAACCTAAAGCTTGCGGAAAGGATGGTTACGACATTCAGAATGTGCTTCATACGCTTACTCAAGTGATAATGAACAAACTCTGGGTAATTCGGAAGTTGATCTCACTTTATGTACAAAAAAACAGCGAGCTCGATGTTGCTGCTGAACGGTTATCAATCGAGCGAAGTACTCGGACCTCTTTCAATTCGTAGCTGCTTCCAAGATATCGGGCTGCATCACGGCAAAATGCTGCGAATCGCGGATGCTTCTGCTTGTAGTTTTGGTAGACCGGGAAAGAAGAACAGCTTACTGGGTTACACAAGCACCTGTGAAACTAAATGGAAAGCACAACTAGAGATTAATCCACTGTGAATGTGAGAACAGATTCGTTTCTTAAGCAGCTGGTGCGATTGGAAAGCATTTTAAATCAGGCCCATGATCATCCGCAGCTAAAATGCAGTCATGAGGGGGGCAGCATGCCATGAAAATTACGCTTTTGATATAACGAGAGTAAACCTTGATATCACCTTTTACTCAGTTCCAAATACCAGCGGCCGAATGTGGGAAGCTGGCGTAAGATAATTATCTTTGCTAATTCTCGCTCGTTCAAACGCTCTCTATATTCCCAAATTCTGCTGGAGAGTATTCAAATCAGTACAATCACCGAGTGTTTTAACCGAAAAAATTGGATTGCAACCCCCTGGTCATCAACCCTCTCCATGTACGTCTCAAAAACAATCGTCATGACAGCACAATAAGTCGCAATACTTCAGCTTTAACCGACACGTGCACCACATGGATAATCTTCAAAGGCGATGCGTATACTGAGAATCCGTCGCATGATCCCCCACACACAACTCCATGGCGAATCTGACATCTTTGTCTACTACTTCTTTGAGCTTGGAGCCACAACATCTTTTATCCAAATCGACAGCAGAAGACACCCCATGTAGGTGCACCAGTGATACCTCTTTCATTTGCGTTTACTGCTTTGTCCGTTTTTTTGTATTCCATCGCACCATTGAAGCGACCTAGACTCGGACACTCAGTCAACATCGCGTGAAAAGCTGCGAAGGCCATAGTTCGACAGCCATAACAGCTGAGCGTAAAGTTGGATAACATGCATTAACCCACTGCTCGAAAAAATACTGAACGTGTAAGGCTATTCGCGGTTCATTGTGGGCTCACATTTCTTATGGCAGCAGAAGTCAGTAGGAGCTAGAAACAAAGTTGACAACAGGCCGCCACGACAGGTTTGCGTTAGCATTACTTGTGGATTGCGATTTAGAAGCCGCTCAATCATTTTCTAGTTCTGCCAGATATTGTTAGGCATCGATCGCGGAAGAGTGCTTTCAGCTTCTCGTGTGCCTTAAGTTGCAGCTCATCTCTTGTTAATACACTTGCTGCAACTTCGTTTAAATACTGCGTGGTATCTATTGACAGTACCAACAATATCATCGGAGTGATTCTGCATTTCAAGCGTGTAGCATCTCTATAGCCACCGGAGTGGAGTTCACGGTAGGTAGAGTCGCCGAGTTCACGGTAGGTAGAGTCGCCGATAATGTTGGTGACAGAAGTAAAAATTGCACCAAAGATTTACCTTCCCAAAATGAAGCAACGCCTCCTTCAAAACGAATGATGACTGAAACAGGTTTGCATTGACGAAATATCGAAAGGAACTCAGCACCGATTCATCCAACCAGATGTACAAATCTTCGGCTACAGACAACGACGGATAAAGTCGGCACACACAAAATTCGACTCGCACAGTGGGACGAATTTGATTTCCATACTAAAGCCCTTTTTGGCCAATTGAATTCGATATTTTGAATAAATACAGCCAATGACAATCTAAAAAATAATGAATGGTTCCTAGACAGAACCACCAGGCCCGCTCTTACAATTCGGTCTCATTCTTTAAAATGACGCGAAAGCGCGCAAGGCGTAGCTACACTCTCAAGGAAAAACGTGAGGCTTTGTCTCTGGCCAAACAAGTCGGGGTTCGCGCTGCCTCAGAGGACCTTACAATTAAGCCGGGGGGGGGGGGCTTTGCTGCATTTCAAGGAGGAGGCATTCTCAATGTCAATGAAACAGCCATACTTTTTGACATGCCACCAACGAGAAGCTGGGCGGGCAAAGGACGCAAGGATTTGGCTCACATCGTCGGTTTAAACAACCATGCATGCCGCATGAGAGCCGTGCTGACTGTACTTGATGATGGTAAGAGTTTAATTATTTGTTGACACATTTTAACTATATTTCTTCTGATAAATACTGGTTTTTGGTAGGAACAAAATATCCAATACTTTTTATCATCCGTGGAGTCCCCGGTGGCAAAATCGAGCAATGTGAGTTTGAGGAGTATCCCGATGGGCACTTTTACGCCATGCATGGATGGATACGTCGGTTTGAAAGTTTTACGTCGAGAAACTTCTTAATTTTGAAGTAGACAAACCCGCTGTCCTTCTTCTTGACGATTTTGTGTGCCATGCGTCGAAAGAAGGACAGCGGGTTGTTGCCGAGGAGGCAAATGCAACAGTGGTCACGCTACCACCTAGCAGCACGGCGGTTTACCAGCCGCTGGACGTTAGTGTAATGGACCCACTTAAAGTGAAACTCCGAAAGGATCCGAGAAGAAAACGTGGAGGTAGTGCCAAGGAAAAACTACTGCGTGGGATGATATCTACTATAGATGCATGGAACGCAATTGAGGAGAGAACTGTAATTCGTAATTTCGAGAAAGCAATTCCTCGGTACCCTGACGTATCCGTTTAGCGATAAACTTTTATGTTACAGCACATGTCTTTTTGATCGTCCTTTGTAATTTTATGTGTAAAATTAACTAATCAGAACGAGTTATTTTTTATGTTGGATTTTTGTGTCGCTCTTGGTTTGATTTAATATACTATCAAGGATGTCATTC